CAAGACCTTTGACTTATCTTCACATAGATGGAACTGGTAAAAGAAAGGAGCCAGGAGCTCCTCCCAAACCCATGTGACCCCTAAGGAACAGATCCTCAGATGACCTTAAGTATAAAAATAAGTTGATTTATTTGGGCCAACTGTAAGGTCTTAAATATCCAAAAGAAAAGTATAACCAAAAAGCAAAGTCATCAGTATACTTCTTTAAGAGTTCAAGGGATTACACTTCCCAGACATTAAGCTTAAGTCTATATAAAAAGTTATTTAGATTGCTGGGCATGGTGGCGCACACCTTTAATCCCAGCACTTGGGAGGTAGAGGCAGGCAGATCTTTGGGAGTTCGAGGCCAGCCTGGTCTACATAATGAGTTCCAGGACAGATGGGCTACATGGAGACCCTGTCTCACAAAGGACAAAAAAAAAAGTTATTTAGATAATTATTTCTCAATGATTTTGTTCCTAACTAGAAAGTGCTATTCAGATGTAAGACTTCAAATCTTGGTCTCCAATACTGTAGTGCCCACCTGTAACTAAGGGAGACAACCAGCTATTGTTCTAAAATGATGGCTAAATTTGTTTTCTCCCCCTATCTAGAAGCCTTTGAGAGGGAACTGACACTGATTCTAACTACTCCAACAGCTATCAAAATACCTGAAAGCAAATCCTGAATCCATCACGCTAGAGTCCAGCCTTTGGAAGACAAAAGAAAAATGAGGAAGAACTCAATAGAGGGATGGTTTTGGAAGCCCTTGTTAAGAAATTCCAATGGACTCTCATACAATCATTTGAAAATTGCCCTGTTCTGACTTTTTTCTAGTTCCCTGTCTAGAACTTGTAATGTAATTACTCTTGCATTTACTTCTCCTTCACATCTCCTAGTCACGATTTAAAGACATTCTTTTCCTCCTTGAGATAAGAGCTATGCAATTTAGGAGTCTTTTAGACAGACCCACTGAAGGGGTACTCCAATTGCCTGACCCTGCGTCCCTGTTCAGCATGGAAGAAGCCAGAGCAATCTGTGTCCCGAGTCCCTATTGGCAACTTGGGTAACCTCTTCAGAGGATGGTGTGATAAGAATAGGAGGTAGGAATTCCCTAGACAGTTAGGGTAAAAAGACCCCAAAGAAAAGTGGCCAGTTTCTTGGCTAAAACTCACAATATCCTTGGGCCTGTTAGCAACATACTGTGTTCCAAAGGCCAAAAATGTCAAAAATATTTGGGAGTTTTTATTTAGTAAATAAAAGATTTTAGGGTTACCTCTTCAGAGGGGGGAATGTTAGAGTAGCCAAAATCCCCATAAAAATAAAGAAAAAAAAAAGAGAAAGAAAAAAGTGCTGGGGAGACATGGGAGGTGTTGGAGGGGAGGGAGTGGGCATGAATTTAATCAAAACACCTTATATGCATGTATGAAATTCTCAATAAAGTTTCTGTAAAAGTTAAAAAAAAAAAAAAAGAAAAGAAAAGACAAACCCTGAGACCTTGGGAGGCAAGACTGAGTCCATCTCCCTGGCTCCTCCAAAGAACATGGGGGCCACTGCAATGACTGACCAATGGATTCAGAGTCCATTGAGACATATCAGCTGACATTCCATTCACCCGTCACTAGGGTCTAGTGCCCCTCTGGCCTTAAGGAAAATGAGTTAGAAGTTCCATCCCACTCACACACTGAACCTAGCAGGACTTCCTATCCATCAGAATGGAACAGAAATGAGGTTCTATGCTGCCAGTACAGAAACGTATCTGGAGACATGAAATTGGCAAATCTCATCATCAGAGGTGTGAGGAGCCAGGGAGGGTATACGTGATACAGTCATGGGCAAACAGCACAAAGGTAGGTGACCAGTGCTCACAGGAAGGACACAGGTGAGATGGTAATGGTGTTAGGGCCATGCCCTCAGAATACACTGGACACCACAAAGGTGTGAGTGCTGGAATGGGAGATGTGGCTTTGTCACTGCTTGTGCAACTGTGAGCAAGCTGACTATGCACTTGGCACCTGCTTTCCTGGTCCATAAGGATGATTCACTATATGTAACTCATAAGTCCATTTGTCCTGGGTGATATCAGCACCCAGAAGTGACTTTTTTAAATTTATTTTTTTAGACAGGGTCTCCTGTATGCCAGCTTGGCCTTGAACTTACTATACAGTAGAGGACAACCTTGAACTTCTAATCCTCATGCCTCTACCTTTAAGTGCTAAGATTACAGTAGTACATCATCACAACGAGGGCAGTGTGCATGATGGGAAAGCTCTACCAAATATCTAGCACCCAGAAGTGATTTGGTTTTTGTAGTCATCCCCACTATCCCTGGAGGACACACCTGTGGCAGGTGCTCTCTGTGTCACGTGACATGGTCACAACTTTTGTAGTTTGAGACCTTACAACAAAGCTAGCCCAAACTGTTCCTTCTTCACAACTTCATAGGTGAAGAGTTCTTCTTAGCACAAATCTTAGCAACCTTGGCATTCAACTGTCCTTTCCTTATTAATTGAAGAACTTCCGCCTTTTCACTTAGAGGAAGCACTACGCTGTACACTTTTAACATGTCTGAGTGGCCAAGATAACTACTCTTGTGCTTTGGGCCTGTTATGAGGACACAAGGCTCATTTCAACAGAGCATGTGACAGCTGATCTGATGACAGGCAGCTGCTGGGTGACTGTCAGGCAGGTGGTATACACAGCATGGACACACTAGCCAAAAAGATGACTCACTTCTCAGGGTAGATCTCAAATCTCATCTTTCTACTCAAGAAAGGTGAACAATTAAAAACTTACAAGCTGGTTATTTCTGGAATGTTCCACATATTTTCAGATAGCAAATATTTGCAGGTAACTAGAACTTGGGAAAAACTACAGGCTTCAAAATAAGAAAGGGGAGTATAGTCAGCAGCACCTGAAACACCTGCAAGGTGGGACAGCAACATCAGCCAATGACTACCAGCTAGCGGACAGCCAACGTCAACACCCAACAAAGCACAGTCAGAGATGCACAGAGGGTCATTTTAACTACGCCCAGGTGGGCAGCACATGAACAACATGTGATCATCTTCCTGGTTGGGCCAGGGAGACATGCATAGAATGTTGAGTCCTCCATTGGGTCAGCCCATGAGAGCCAGGAGAACTAACCAATCTCAAAGCAATTACCTCAAATTACCTTTGTCCAGTCTCTGCCAGACCTACAAAAGCCCTGCACAAGGAAGTAGGATGGCTTTTTCCTCTTGGAAATCCCTTCTGCTTTTGAGAGTTTCTCTTTTCCATAATGCTCCTTAATAAACCCTGCTGCCCCTTTACTCCCACAACTGAGCCTTTAATCTTCACTGGCGTGAGATAAACTCAGAGCCACCGTCTCAAGTCCATCTTTGCTGACAGTGAGTGTCTAACATTCTAGGTTCTTGGGTCACATCAAAAACTGCATCACAGAGCTAAAGCCAGGTATGACTGTGGTGTCTCCAGGAACAGCTGCCCACAGCAAGCAGAGAGAGAGGCCAGCCCAGCCTCGGCTGGAGAGATGGGGTGCAATGTGATGTGTAGTGAGAAGAAAGTAAACTGGCTCTCCAACTGCCTGGGCCTATAGTGTTCACCTCACCCTTCACATCTCCCTGATGTTCCCCACCCATATCCCGAGTAAATCCCCTCCTGGCACCCCTCATTCCCATCATCCAATACCCCCAGCTCACCTGGATGATAAAGCCCGTGGAGGAGCACTGGCGGACCCACAGACTGAATTTCCTCTTTTTCCTTTTTCGCAGTTCTCGCTCCGTGCACGTGGCAATGAACACAGGGTCTTCGTCGATCAGGGGTTCATGTAGCACCTGCAGGAAGGGGAACACTGATGTTCTCACAGGGCAGTATGAGACTGGCTCCCAGCTCAACCTCTAGCACGCTGTCTATGTGACCTTGACCAAGTTTCCTTACCTGTAAAGGGGCAGTCTGCAGTCTCACTAACTCCACCACTGTTCTAGGGAGGGCTCAGCTGGAAAGCCTGGGCAGAATGCTCAGCCCAAACCCTGGGGTACAGCAGATGTTCCTTCAGCAGAAATGATTGTAATTCTTACTATCACTGGTTAGGGAACCCTGTCAACTCCTGTCTGTGTTCGTTCTCATTCTCTCTCCCTCCCCCCCCCCGCCCCCCTCCTAGAGGTCAATGTTAGAGGTCTTTCTCAACCACTCTCCATCTTATTTTTGAGACAGCATCTCTCCCTGAACCTGAGGCTCACCAATTCAGCTAGACTGGCTGGCCAATGGCTTCAGGTACCCTGCCCATCCATCCCAGTACTGGGATTACAGGTGAGCATAGCCACATCTAGCTTTATGTGGGTGTTGGGGATTGAACTCAGGTTCTGATGCCTGCATGGCAAGCACTTTACCACCTGGACCATCTTCCCTGACACCCCCTTCCCCCACCCCCACCAAGCCCCACCTCTTCTTGGTAGAGAGATTTCAGTAAGAGTCCTTTTCCTGATCTCTTGAGGAAGCTCTGCCCATGAATACAGCTTCTCTGGACACAGTACCCTCCTTGACCAAGTCAAGATTTGATTAAATTTAACTTAAACCCAAAGGTTTCTTAGGTTTCCCTCCAAATCCCCCTTTCTTTCTTTCCTTCGACACTGGGGATTGGCCCTGGAGTCTTACATGTGTAGTCACACCCTTTAATTGAGATACATTCTCAACTCTCCCAAAGCAGTTTTTAAATTTTTTAATTGTGTGTGTGTTTGTGTGCGTGCATACATAGGTGCCTATGGAGGCTACGGGCATTGGATCCCCTGAAGCTGGAGTTACAGATGGTTGTGAGCCACCTAGCTTGAACTCAGGTCCTCTGCAAGAACAGCAAGCTCTCTTAATTGCTCAGACAACTCTGCAGGCCTCACCCCACCCCAGCAATTCCTAAATGTACTTCACCTGTGTCAGCTTCTTAATAACATGATTCTATGACCATTTCAAAGTTAGATGGATTTTTCTTAATAAAGTAAAAAGAAGTGGTATACCAATGTAAACTCCAAGTTAGCTCTTCACACTAAAATGTTTATGACTTTCAGGTACATTTTATCATTTACTATGTGATAGTTTGAATGAGAACATCCCCCATACATAGGCTCCAAGCATTTGAACACTTGGTCCCCATTTGGTGGTATTGTTTGGGGGATGCTTATAGAGCCTTTAGAGGTGTGGCCATGCTGGAGGAAACATGTCACTGGTGGCAAAATTTGAGAGTAGATAGCCATGTTCCATCTCCAGTTCCTCTCTCTGCTTCCCATGTGTTTGAAGACCTGAGTGCTCAGCTTCCTGCTCAGGCCACCTCTGCCACCATGCCTCTCTGCCTTGATGGACTCTAATACTTTCTGGAACCATAAGCCAAATAAACTACTCCTTTTATAAGTTGCCTTGGTCATGGTGTTTTATCACAGCAACAGAAAATGTAACCTTCCCCAGTTCTGTTCTACAATTCCAAATTAAGTATAATGTCTGCGGGTAAGTAAGAAGAACCGTGTAGACAACAATTTCAACTTTACACGACATTCTAGATCAGTGGTCATCAAACCATGGCCTGGTCCAGCCTTCTGCCTGCTTTTGTAAATAAAGATTTATTGGAATAATGCCATGCTTCTCTGTTCTCTTCCTCTGTTGCTCTGGAGTCACATGGAAGAAGTGACAAGCTTCAACAGCGACCATATAAAGTCTAAAGTAGTATTCTAAAGTAGGTCATACACAGAAAGTTTCAATGAGCTAAGCACCTAGAGATGGTTGTAAACTGTGGGCTCTGTCTCAGCAGATCTGGGTCAGCCCAAGGCATGCAGTTTTCCCATGGCCTGGCAGGGACGGAATGGAGGGTGATCTTAGCAGTCAAGACCCACATTCTTTTAGTAATAGTGCCTCCAGTTCCATTTTTTAAAAGCATCAAGCTTGGGGACAGAGAGATGGCTCAGTGGTTATGAGCACTGGCTGCTCTTGCAGAGGACCTGGGTTTGATTCCCAGCATCCACATGGCAGCTAACAACCATCCATAAGTCCAATTCCAGGGGATCCGATGCCCTCTTCTGACCTCCATAGGCATTGCACAACACGGGTGCACCTACCTACATTCAGGTAATACACTCATACACATAAAATAAAAATAACAAATATTAAAAAAAAACAACAGAAAAAGCATCAGGCTTACTTTACTGGTCTGCATTACACATGTTCAGCCCCCTTGTTTTTTCATTATTGGTAGCATGGTGGCACACTCCTTTAATCCCAGCACTCAGAGGCAGAGGCAGGCGGATCTCTGTGAATTCAAGGCCAGCCTGGTCTACATAGTGAGTTCCAGGACAGCTGGGGCTACAGGGAGCCCCTGTCTCAAAAAGACCAAAAAAAAAAAAAAAAAAAAAAAAAGTGACTTCAATATGGGGTCCCATCTGTGTTCATCAGGAAGCTAAGCAAGATGGCCAGCCTACACTGCTCACCAGGTTCTCAAGTCCAGCTCCTCACATTTCCTGGCTCTTTGCAGCTAATTAAACAGTCAAAACCCCACTTGGAACCATCTAGTAAAATGCACAATATGATGGGGCCAAGGAAGGTGGCACGGGTGGCACTCTGCTGCCTGTTCTCCCCCTGCCCACCTCCCTGCCCAGGCCACACACCTGTTGTTGCTTCTCAGCCACCCCAAAACTGGGGAGGGGGACACCCCTCCTCAGAGAGTACCTGAATACATCTCTACATGACTCTCGGCCACATTAACCACTGCAGCAGGGCCAACTAGAATCTCACTTCTCCTCTGGGGAAAACAGTCAGCATCCCTGTCACATAGTCCTGTCCTCGAGTCCCCTCTGTGTGACAAGTGCACTTCAAGTGTGCCAGGCAGCATGTATGGTACATGAGACATCACTTATTTGCAGCCCTCTCTAGGGATATTTCTCTTGACTAATTGGGTTCCAGTTTTGATGAGATCTAAAACCTCCCATTTGTGCTGTTCTGACAGTCACACAAAATGTGCACATGCTTTGGCTGTTGGTAGATTCTGAGGTCTTCTGGGGACTCTGCAAAATCTTCTCAAAGGGTTAACACTTGCGGGAATAGTACTCCAACAGTGCATGCTGAGGGTACGTGCACCTGTGTGTGTGTGCACCTGTGTAGTAGCCATATGTATGCTCAGGGCAGAGTCCAGATGGTAGTGTATGGAAGCAGGCTCTGGGTCACTCCTGGAAATCCAGAGCAAATCTGACCCCATGTCTGACAAGAACAAGGAGTAGAACACCATCTCAACCAGTCTCTACCGGAAAAGGAAAACTGTTGGGGACCCCTGCTGTTTAGGGTAGCAGTCTTCCCATGTCCGGATAGCCTCAAGCCGGCTCGGCGCAAATGGGGAGACTCCCTTCTCAGCGGGGCGCCTTCTGCTCTCCTCCCTGACTTACTTTTGAAATGCCCGTCACAGATACATGCCCTCCGGCACAGAAACTACCAGGCTTTAATCAGGCATTATCTGATAGCCTGATAGAAGCCCACCACCCTATGTAAATGAAGCATTCCAGGAGTACCTATCAGCTAAGGCTTTTTACTGTCTCCACACTATAAATAATCCTAGTTTTACCCCAATAAAGCTGGAGCTGAATCACCAGGGGATGCTGGGTTTCCTGGTCCTGGGTCATAAGGAAGGCTGTTAGCTGAGGGAGCTGCCTTTTCCACCAGGAACTTGCTTCCTGGTCAGAAAAGAGCTGGGGAGCAGCACCAGTTTTCCAGGAAAGCACCTCTGTGGAGGGAGTAGGGGAGTCCTTGAGCCTGGGTGCCCGCTTTTTCTTTTGTTCTTTGCCTCTCAAGCCTCCAGCCTCCTTGGCATCCAGGTTGCTGCTGGAATCTGGAAACATGAAAGCTGAGTGACTGGGGTTTGGGTCTGGGAACTCCCTGGATTTCCAGGGCAGAGTGGCCTGATTTGATCTCACAGAGTAAAGCTTACACATGTTCTGTTGGGAGTCCCAGAATAAGCTCCTGGTCACTTCCTTTGGTGACTGTGGACTGAGTGTCAATGTCTCACATCAGGTTTCAGATCTTGGTTTTACTCAAGCACTGGTCCCTCGGGGATTTCAGCCTGTGCCTTTGGCTGCAATCACTATTGTGTTAGACATGGGAAGGTCACAGAGTGTTGGGGACCCCTGCTGTTTAGGGTAGCAGTCTCCCCATGTCCGGATAGCCACAAGCTAGCTCAGCGCGAATGGGGGGACTCCCCTTCTCAGTGGGGCACCTTCTGTTCTCCTCCCTGACTTACTTTTGAAATGCCCGTCACAAGATACATGCCCTCCGGCACAGGAGCTACCAGGTTTTAATCAGGCGTTGTCTGATAGCCTGATAGAAGCCCACCGCCCTATGTAAATAAGGCATCTTAAAAGTACCTATCAGCTAAGACTTCTTCTGCTGTCTCTACACTATAAATAGTCCTAGTTTTACCCCAATAAAGCTGGAGCTGGAGCTGAATCACTGAGATCTGAGCTGAGTCACTTGTCTGAAGCTGTAACACTAAATCCTGTGATCCAGTCTGGGGGTGGTATCCTTCCGTCATCGACTCACGAAGACCCTGCTTTCGCTGTTTCTCGCACCTCTCCTCGTGACCTGGTGGCCAACAGGTCTCGAACTTAGAGAGAGAGTGCATGGTGGAAATTGAAACGGAACCCGACCAGGCAGCTTACAGCGGTCCTAGAGCCGCCAGCTCCGGTAGCAGAGACCCTCAGCAACGCGGTGCGCGAAACCCGCGCACCCCAGTGGCGGAGAGCCAGGGACCCAAACAGCAGACATGGCCCGCGGGACCCGCCGTACTCCAGCGACATGTGGGAGACCGGCGCCAAGCCCAGCAGCTGGCGCCCCGAGATCCCCGCACACCCATAGAAAACCTCTAGGGAGACCTTCAAGGGAGCTCTGGTCATACCAGTGGTGACAACTTCTGACCAAACTACAGCTCCCCTCGTCGAGGCTAAGAAAAAAGCCCTCTTCCTCCTATGGGAGCCAGTCTTGGATGCACACAGCTATGAGATTATAACTACAGGAGCCAAGCAGGATGTAGCCAAGCCTGGTAGCCTAGAAAAGAGTGCCCCCTAAAGGCCCACAGGAGACTGCATCCTCTGCACTCTGCAGAAGATAGTCCTGCTGCTCTGGGTAGGAATGGACAAGAGTGACATCAGGGAGCCCCAGGAACATGACAGCCAAGTCACATTAAGCATCCTGCCGCTCTTTGCAGCTGGTATAGCTTCTCCTTGGACTGACCCTGCTCCTACCAACTGACAGGAGCGGGTTGGACAGGGCTTTATGCCAGCAGTCAGACCCCTGAAGTTGCCTCAGCTTGTGACAGAGCTCTAAGATGGGATCCCTGTCTGCCTCCCATTTCCTTGCCACCTCCTGACCCTACACTGGGACCTATAGCTAAGCTCTTACAATCTACACCATCTGCAGGGCCTGGGTCCTACTTGTGTGACCAAGCAGGAGGCATCAGCAAAAATACACTGCTGCAAGGCCCCTCCAAGTCTTACTCTTAGTCTGACTCTAGGTGCTCTGTGCCAGCTTAGGGGTGCACTGACCCCCACGACTGAGGGTGCTTCCTCACCCTCCCAATTCCCCTCCAACCTGGTTACAGCTCCCAAGAATTCCCAAGCTGTTATGTTCTTAGCTCACTTCTAGATATTGTATTTAGCTTCAGAGATCCTGGCTGGGACCCAGGAACTTACTGTGGGAGGGAACAGGAAAAAACATGGCTGCAGAAACAAAGGCAAGATAAAAGTTACATCAAAGAGAGTAAAGAGAAAACAAAGCTGGCCTGAGACTTGGCCCTACACTGAGCCTCACACACACCAGAAGCAATGAAAAGACATAGCACGGAGGAAGAGGACCATGGCAGGCTCTGTCTGCCCCTGGTACTCCTGAAACTGTTCATCCGACTCCTGTGAGCAAGGAGGGCAGAGCTGCTTCCTGGACACCGTAGTCCAGTCACTCTGCCATCACAGAAAGGTGCTGCATCCCTCAATGAACCCTTGGCCAGTGACAAGCCTATGGGTCTGGTTCCCCAGAGGTGCTGCAGTGTGCCAGAAAGTGAGTCCAGGTCACAGCCACTGCGGCTGCAGGGCCAGGATGAGCAGCCAGTGTGGAAACAGCAGAGCAGAAATGGGCATGACTGTTTATAAGGCTCACCTGGGCTTGGAGCTGAAGGGATTCTCGGGAGCACTGTCCTGTTTTTGCTTATTTTCTGTAGCACTAAGGGTTGAGTCCAGGCCTAGTACATAGTAAGCAACCACTCTCCCACTGAGCTACATTTGAGCCTTATTTTAATTTTAGTTTGAGACAGGGTCTCATTATGTAGCTCAGGCTAGTCTTGAACCCACGATCCTCCTGCCTCAGTCTCCTGTTTAGTTAGGATGGCAGGTATGTGCCACCCAAGCCCAACAGCAGCCTTTTCTTTAAGTTGCTACATATCAACCTCCAACCAGCTGACTGCTTGATTTCCAAGAGTCACCTTGCTGACCACAGACATCCTGAGGCCACAGACTCCTCCTGACTGTGACCCGAGGATGGTCAAAACGTGGCTTTCTCTCTCTTGCATGCATGGCTTTGAGCTGGTTCACTTTCACTCAATAGTATTTGGTAAAATAAAAACTTGTGCCAGACCTACTCTGTAGGGCCCATGTCCCCAAAAGATGCCATCTGCAAGGAAAGTGACATGTTAGTGGAGGAGACCCAAGAGCACTGAGCTTCCTAAAAGGCAGCAGGAAGGATTCCAGAAACTAAGATGGAAATGCAGGCCTGACACAAGCCCTGGAGATCTGCCAAGCCCAAGAGAGGGAGAGAGACGAGTCCCAGGCCAAACTCTGGTGCTAAGAGGGGCCTGGCAAGTTTGAGAACAGTAGGATAACCTGTGCAGTGTTCAAAAGCCTATGGGCCTGACACAGAGATATCATCCCCCCAAATTCCTCATGTTTCCAGCTGCCCAGGATAGAGGCACATCACACTTAGGGCAGAGCTCAGGAAACAAACAACAGGAGTGGCAGCCAAGCAGAAGCCTCCTAAAAGAAAGTCACAAGCACACAGAGTGGTGGGTCTGGGAAACGGAATACTTTCCACAGAGAACAGATCAAGAGAGCCAGGCCTACTCAGGCTAAGAACTTCCTAATTTGAGTCAGAAAAATCTCTAGTTATCAACCACCTCCTCAGTCTTCTAGACCAACAGAGCAATTCTGAGAAAGAGTCTGAGATTCTAACACCGAGCCAGGTGCACATGGAAGACAGGGCCCATCAGGAGCCAAAAGCCACCTGAGCCATTGCCTCCTGAAAGGGGCTGAAGCCACAGGGAAAGAGTTGGGTGTCTGTTGTGGGGAGCTGGGCTTCCAGGCCCCAGCGGAGGCTGTCTGCTCTGTCTAAATGGCCAGGTGAACCTCAGCATATGAGAAGTTGCAGTGACCCAAAGAATCGCTGTAATTTCAGCCCATCCCTTCACCATCCATGTCCAGACTCTTTCACACTGCTAAACCAGTGCATACTCAGCACACTCAAGACTCTTGAGACTAGCCTATGGGAAGCCTAACATGGGATGGTCCACTGCAAGAGGATGTGGAGAGACAGACTATGCCTCTGCGCAAAGGATCAATTCCAACGTCTGATGGTTGGATCTCAGGCCCCTCACTATCCTCTCTGATCATATTTGAATTATATGGGTGACAGAGTGGATGGCAATCTCAGATGATGGGCAGGGAGTAGGGACACCTCAAATCCTCTAGCCAACGAATGCCCCAAAGCACTCATGAGCATCTGGCTGACACATACACACACATATGTATAACTGACATATGCCTGGAGACATGCATGCATACACAAATGCACATACATGTTCATACACACACACACACACACACACACCAGCCTCACCTGGGTCTGGGATGGCCTGAAGGCAGCATCGAAGCCACTCTGCAGGGAATCGAGGAAGGGCTGGACCTTGTAGAGCCCATGTGTGGTCTGGCTGGAGCGGAAGGCCACAACGTGGAAGTACTTGAGGATTTTCTCAAAGCGGGCCTGGCTCATGACAAGGGCAAGGCTGCGATTGCTATAGAAGCCACCACTCCAAATGCTGAGGACAGATTCGCAGTGTGAGACGCTGGTCGAGATCACGTAGCCCAGGAAGGCCTTCATCTCAGCCAGTGTCACCTCCACCCAGGCACCGTCACTGCCAAAGCGCTCCTGGAACTTCCTGGCGTACATGTTGGTCTGCATCACCATGTTCTTGAGCACGTTGTCTGGAACAAAGAGCTGAAAGAAGTCCACAGCACTGGCACTAGGGGGCATCTTTCGGGTCGGACCTGAAATCCAAAGAGATGCCAAGTACTTACTTCCAAAATCACCAACACCAACAGGAACCAGGTCCTCTTGGGCCTTCACCCAGAAGCCCTGCCTAGCTTCCTTCCCTTCCTGCATACAACATATTGCACAACTGGAGGCCACAGCCCAGTGCCCATTCTCTGGGCCTCCTGTCACATAGAGGCTTCTGTCCTGTTGCCCAGGACCCTCCCATCACTCCCACCCTTCTGTCCACCTGGCTCTCCCATAGTCCAGGCCCTGCTGTTTTGTTCCGTCCACCCCGTCCTCCTATCTCCTTTTCCCTGGTCCCCTGCTGACCTAGCACATCCAAGCTGATCCCTCAAAATACATGCATGCTATAGGTTATCAATGGTAACCCCCTCTCAGGCCTCCAGTTCTGCTGGAGTCCTGCCAAATGCAGTAAAGACTGATGTGAGGGAATAGAGGGAGGGAGGGAGGGAGAGCAGAAGGAGGAAGAAAGAGGGAGGGAGGGAGAAAGGGAGACAGGGAAAGAGGGAGAGGAAGAGAGACAAGTGGAAAGGAGAGAGGGAGGGAGGGGGCACACATAGCTCAGATGTGGACCTCTGGCTTGCATTTTATAAGTTAAGGTGACTCTATAAATAAAATACATCCAACACATGCAATCTGAAAAATTCAAGCCAAGAAAGGCCAATTTTTACTAAGTATTCCCATGTAGAATTTAAAACTTATTGGTAGATTAATTTGAAGAGAGTAGTATAAGGCTGTTCCACCAATGGAAGAAAAATGTCACAAATTTGCCCAATACAGCCTCTCTTACATACACACTTAGGTATATGAATATCCTTGTGAGCATCCTTACAACGTTATTCCCATAATGTCCCAAAAATATCTTAAGTAGAAAAAGCACAAGGCACCCTAACCAAACTGTCCTCAGTCACAGCACTCTGTAGGGTGCTGACAGTGTACTGACTGGGAGCCATGGCTTGACATCACCGCCCCAAACATCAGAAGGACATCACACACATACTGCTAGCCAGGGAGAAGACCCCAGTTTAAATTTCAAGTATGGATCCTACCAAAATACACCACTGCTTTTGCATTGAATTCTAGCACTCTTTTGCTGAGTTCTTCTCTGTGTTTATAGTATTTTAGAAGCCACAGTTGCCAATTTTACTTAAGACTGGCTTGGAGCTGCATGTTTTGATTTGTGGGAGATAAGCCTGCTTTTGGAGCTGTGTGGCAGTTTTTAATAAAAGCTGTTTTCTCCAGAGTTCCAAAGTTCCAGAGTTCTCCCTGGCCTGGCTTTCCTGTCTTGCAGGTTTATATGGGTTATGAAAAACAAGCTTTTTACAGCAAAACAAAGATGGGTAACACCAGTGAGACAGCTAGGTTTTAGAGTCAGTGGGCAGATTAGGGAAGACAACTTCCTTTTTTTTTTCTTTTTGTATTTGACACGTGTGGTTTGCACGTGTCTGTATGTAGGTATGTAACATGTGTATGCAAGTTGAGTGTAGAGGCCCAAAGTTGAAATCACTGTTCCTCAACTACTCTTCTACCTCATTCAGTGAGGCAGAGTTTCTCAATCAAACCCAGAGCTCACTGATAATGGCTAGTCTCTCTAGCCAGCTTGCTCCAGGCCCACCCTGTCTCCACTTTCTGAGGCTGGAATTACAGGTGGGCAACTATGTCCACCAGGCATTTATGTGGGTTCTGAGGATCCAAACTCTAGTTTTCAGGCTTGCCTGTAAGCACTTCAACCACTGAGTCCCCAGCCCCCAAACTCCTAAAATTCAAGTCACTGTACATCAAATTTGTGGGTTGTTCCCAGCTCTAGTTTTCTGTTTAAAGAATAGGATGAGGACACCAACTTCCAAAGGTCATCTGCAGAGTAAAATGAACAAGTGCACACACCAGATGCCCAGCACAGTGCTGGTCCAAGGAGACAAACTTGAGGAGGCATGGTGGCTGTCTTCCAGACACCTACAGGAACTCACTGAGGTGCGGCTGAGCATTCTGCAATGCAAACTCTCTCTTCAGTTTACCTGGAGCAGGGCAGCCATCGCACTGCACTCACTGTCTCCAACCATACTTGGAAAGGCCTGAGCTGGTACCAGAGAACCAAATTGACCCATGAGGAAGTTGGACCAGCACAGGGGAGTTGAAACTCAAGTCTGTCTGTGTTGATGTGCCAAGCCCACCCTGGTGAACACCACTGCGTTTCAGCGCCTGGTAGTCTCCTGCAGGTGAAGTCACAAATTCTTCAGTGATAGCATTCAGCCAGGAGGAAAACCAACAGTGTGACTGCCATATCACACTGACTGAGAGGAAGGGAATCGTCTCCTAAAGTTGTGTTGAAAGTAACCTTGCCTCTCATGCCATTTCTAGATGGATTCCCATGCCATACCCAGCCTGCTTCATGAAGACACTGGAAAGTGGTTAGCTCCCCTCATTTACTCAGACTGACAAGCCTAGGACTCCCGTGGCTGCACTGATTCCTACTAGTTGGAACATGGTGGCACAGGTAGGTAGTCATGGGAAAGGAGGGAGGTGGTTGATCCAACTCCTACCTACAAGCCTCACAATCTACTTAGCTTTCAGGCATGGCCTATATCACGCCAGTCCTGAGGGGCACCACCCACATGAGGGACAGGAAGAATTACAAGTAGAACACAGTCTGTCTCTAGGTGACTTATCTCCTGTAGCCCCCAGTGGAAGTTACTAATTTTGCCACACCAGCCCCACACAGACATCAGTCATGCATGTCTCCCCTTCATGATGCACACCTGCCATGGGGTAAAGAGGGTGAATGCACCTAGTGGGTAACGGAAGGAAGTAGAGACTTCATGTCACAACCACAGGTGGCCTGGGACAGTGGGTGACAGGAGACTGGGAGGAGGTACCTTTTGTTCTTTGGGTCTGGAGGAGTGGAGGACCTGGATACAGAGCAGGAACTCAGGCTACAGGTCATCGTATCAAGGTTCTACCTTCACCACCTTGTTGTCTGAACCCTACTTCCTTCCCCTCACTCTCCTGGCACCATGCTGAACTCAGAGTTCATTGGAGTCTTTTCCATTCCGCCCCACCAGGCACCGTCATTGTTTGGGGCCCAGGTCTTGCTCCATTTTGGCTGCCTCTGCAGCCCATGTCTGACCCCTTGTGAAGAGAGAAAGCCCAGGTCACAGCTGTCCTACTCTCTGCCCTCCAAGCTGTACATGTGGTGTGCTCAACGTGTACCTACAGACAGCAAGAATGGAAACAAAGGAAGAACAGACAGCACACCCCTTGAGGGACAAGGGCATCTTTGCTGGGTTCAGTAGGAAGCACCCAGGTGACAGGACTGGGTCAGCCATGTCCACCATACCTCCAGAGGTGCTAATGGAGGAGTGACAAGGGCAAACTGGGGTCCAGTGCATGTGAAGGAGACTTTCTGAGAATGTGGGACACTTCAGTGTTGGGCAGGAAGTGAATGACCAGCCTGGAGGCAACTCTGGGCCCTGCCTTCTTCTCCCTTCAAGTCACTGGGGAAACTCCTGGCCCTTCCTCGCTTCCCTATGTCTTCCCTCCCTCTGAAGCACCATGCCACAGGAGACCACACAATCTCTATGGGTCTTAGCTTCCTTAAACAGAGGGTCACAGGGGCACACAGAACAGGCTAGGCATAGAAAACACATTCCCAGCCTTATAACCCTACCCTGCATTAAAAAAAATATCCTGGGTTTTTTTTTGTTTTTTTTTTTTTTTTAATTGCCACAAAAAGGAGGTGGCCAAGACTGATCTGGACCTCAGGCCAGAGAGGGCAAGAGTCTCTGGAGAAGACAGAGGCTCTGCGAGGCCCAGTGAACAGGTCTGGCTCTTCTAACCCAAACAACTTCCACCCCAGGCCAGACCCTTGCTCCAAATGCAGCTTCTTAGCAACATCAAAGCTGAAGCTGTCAAAATGATAGTGGAGATGGTGTCACCAAGATCACTAGGATTGCAGGCAGGTATAGATGCACCTGGTCCTCTGCCCGCCCTCAAACATGGATACAAGTTTGGGCTCCCCACCCAGCACAGGCACTGGCCAGTAGGGGAGAAGAAGTACTAGGTTCCCCTCCTACATGAACCCGCTTAGACAGGTGGACATCTCCCCAGCTCATTCTGTCAGATAAGTCCTCCATACCCCCAAACACACCCTGGTAGGTGGCCCATCAGCTCTCACAGACCCGTGGTCCCTCACCATAAACACAAAGCCTAGCCTGGGGGTCTCCACAGACCTCCTTGCCCCACCATCAGGCCTGTTGCTTGCTCTGACCATCAGCATGCACTAAGACAAGGAGTCACAGGACAGCTGGGGTCAGAGGCAGCATGAAGCGCTCAGCCCCTGTATACCCATGCCCCCTTCATCACACAGCTGTCCCAGAAAAGCAGGCCGACTAGAGCTACTTCTCCCAGATGCTAATTATATCCCTCCAATTCATGGTGTACCCACTCACACCCTCCTGGGAGAGGGAGGGAGGGGAGGGGAGGGGAGGGGAGGGAGAAGGAAGGAAGGGAAGGGAAGGGAAGGGAAGGGAAGGGAGGAAGGAAGGAAGGAAGGAAGGAAGGAAGGAAGGAAGGAAGGAAGGAAGTGAGAAAGGGGATCTGGGACACAGAAACTAATCCCAAGACAACATTGCTCAGAAGCCCAGGAGTCACAAGGCATAAGCCTCAGCATCCTCATCTGACAGTGAGCACTGGGCTGCAGACACAGGAGACCAGAAGGGTAATGGCCAGAAGAGGACACACTTGACCCCCAGCAAGCAGGATACCCCTGGCCCCTAGGCTGTGGTGCTGTCACCCCCAGGACAGAAAGCTGGGGGACTATGGGAATCTGGCCTCCTGCACACTTCTTGGGCCACACTTGCAAGGTCCAGTTTCAGAAGTGTTGCCAAGGAAACACTTTATTTATCCATAAATATAAACATGTCAAGTTTGTTCCATGAACAAGTACACGGCACTTAGCATGTTTTTACACCTAGGTGTGTGTTCTCTTTTCTTCACA